ATATATATATATATATACGTATACATATATACATATATACATATATATGCATATATATATATATATAATATTTAATACTTAATAATTTTAAAAAAGCCTTAAGAAACACATGTCCCCATTTTTTTTTGCAGGAATTCGGTCGTTCGCAGCTCATTGCCTCACTGAACCTGATACGAGCAGGACAAAACCTAAAATGGCCCTTACCACTGCGCTATATTTTTTGTTTTTCTTCGCCTCACAGATTTTGCCGTCAACCGCGGTTGTAGCTTCTCACTGGACATTAATGATTCTGCAGATGACTGAGTGCCTGGGAGTGGTGGTCGGATGAAGAGATGTTCCCTGGGAGACTTTGTCATAGATAGCGATTATTCGAAAAAAGGCTAGGGCTTCGCAACGCAAGCCTTCCCCAAGCTGGTGGGCAGTGAAAGGGGCTTATCAGGGGATCTAGTAAACTTATGGTAGGCCCTACTTGTGACACGGTGGGGAATTAGACGTCACTGTCAAGTAACGTAAGTCTAAAACGATTCCCACAACCTTCGCGCTTGGAAATTGTAGTTAGATTGAATCGTTCACCCAATCTTTCCAGCGCGCTTTGGATTTCACACGATAATAGCTGTATATTTGCAATGATATACTGATTATTTTCTCCGTCCGGGACCGCTATTTACAAAAGCCTAGTTGCAAAACAGTTCAGCAACTCAGGCATTTGGAATAATACGTTGCGGGGCACATCCATGCAACGGGTCGCAGGGTTACCTTATCTTGTTGCTCTAGCGAACTAGAAAGCTAACTGTTCTCCGTAAATCGATGCTGATCACACTACAGCAAAGGAAACTATGTTCCTGTAGTAGTCTTGAAGCTGATTCAACCACATTCTTCTTTCGAAACACATGGTGATCTTTCAAGTTTTCGACCATTTTCCCCTGTTTTCAAATTAGTGAACCTAAATACCATTTTAAGAACACTCAATTGTGACTTCGCCTGCGGAAGATACGCCTGGTATGCGCGTGTATTTTTTCCGGAGATTAGTTTGTTAATCACGGAAAGATGGGCGACGGAAAGGAACAAAACCTTGGCAAAACAGATAGCCTGATACCGATTACCGATTGGACATTAAAATACTAGAGCACCATGTTTTGTTTTTCAACATTTTTGCTAAAAATTCTCTATTTACTGTGCTTGACTGCACTAATCAAAACGAACTATTTGAATACATTAGGGGAGTGGTTTGTTTTTGAAGGACACAGTGACCAATCTAGAAAAAAATGTACAATCAGTAGAGGCTATTCATTTTGACAAATAAGCTGTCATTCTTTCTGGGGAAATTCATCGCTCGCTCTTACCTTATCTTCGATTGTCGGACACTCCCTTTTTGTGGTGCGCGATTGACATGTCATTTGAATCGGTTCCGCGTTCATCAACTTCTTTGGACTGAAATTCGCTTTCGGCCCATCAACCCATTGTTCCTTTTGTGTACTCAATGTTTCAATGGCATTTTTCACAGCTGCTCTGGACCAGGCGTGGATATTTCCACGGGGATTGGCGCGCCTGAGCTCCATGATCGTTTTCACACGTCCTTCAGTTCTCTCTTTTGTGGACGCCTTAATCTCGCTGCAATCTCCCGAACCTGCTGGCGCCTGAGTTGCATCGCTTGGAAGGGAATTTCCACTTAACTGGTTCGGAAGTCCACTGTCAACATTGTCCTGATTTTTGAAGTAAAGTGAAATAAATACAACAAGTTTCGTTTTATTCAAAAACAGTGTGGAAAAAAGCCAATTCACCATTTCTGAAAAACCCTGTTGAACAGATGGCGCGCTGGCAAGCGATCCTCGTTCGTGCGCCAGATTTCCAATACTATTTTCAACATCATCCGCACTTGTTTACGGTTTGAAGGGCACTCTCGAAATGAAACCGTGGTATTGGATGGATTCTATTCGCGCAACAGATTCAATGTAGCGGTAATGCGGAAATCTTACGGAAGGTAATTCGTAGATTGAGACACCCCAGTCACAATTCAGCAGGCGGTAATAACTCCGCTGCCTTTTTGAAGCCGTGCGGCAACATACAAAGACATGATGACTGAACTTAAATTACATTTCCGATCAGATATCCGGGATCATCCCAGTTATTTGGTTTAGAGATCGTATCCCTTTGAATACTTCTATTTTATCAAAGTACAAGGTACCCAGTTGACGGCGTGATTCGAAGTAAGTGAACTGTCAGCCAAAGAAAGACCACACACGAGGTCGAACATTTCAATATTCTGCGTACGAAATCCGAAATCAACCTGAGCAATCTCAAACTTTTCTGCATGATTTGTCTGCCATAGTCTTGGAGGCAGTTGAAGCTTTGAGGAAGTAGCTTCGAACGACTCTAGATACGCCCCCCAAAAAACAAAGGGGTGCTCACAATCCTTGCTAGTGTAGTTTACTAACTGTTTATACTAGGTCAGAATAGATCTACGTTTTCTGTCTGTGCGAATGCTCAGATGTACAAAATCGAAACCATTCAATATTGGGTTGTGTCAAGCACACTCACTCTAGTCGTGTACGCACAGGATGACTCCAGCCTGGCGATCGATTGGTTTGCTTTCCTAAGGGCGTTTCACGCTGCATAGATTAGATAACACAGCTGCTGACAGTTCAAAGATAGGCAAGTGTAACCAAGTAGACCATGAAACGGCAGGGAATTTAAGAGCTGACACATACACCCTGACTGCAAAGGGCGGCAGTTTTCGACCTTATTCATATGAACGGAAATAAGCTAGTGATATAAAGTGTTTACTAAAAACAAAACTAATAAAATCGCATTTTTTGTAATCCTGTTCACACTCGCTCATTGTTTGGTCCACCTATTTCACATACACAGTGGGGCTAGATCCGCCTGCCCGAGATGTTTATATTCTCGTGTGTTAAGTGGGTGTTCCATGCAAAATATGAGAATTCATTTTGCCTGATCAATCGTGGGTCGTGTGCCACTCAAACCAGACGTTTTGCTCATCTAGAGAAAAATGGATCAGCTGGTACTCACTGGCTGCGTCTCTCCAAGGGGACCACTGATAATTCTGCATAGACCCGGTTTGGATTGCTGAGACTCTACCTCCGCTGCCATGCTTCCGTGATATTCATTTCGCCCAAGAAATATCACTGTATCACAAGACTGCTCACTGCTTGACGTGTAGTCCCGTTCGGACGAATGCGTACCGTTGAGTACATTTGATTTTCTTTTTCCAGCCTTGGTCCTGTGAAAGGCTGATCGCCTAGAGACTGAGTATGGGCCTGTATGTATTCGAGTTCGGTTTGCTCGTCTTAGACCGAAGCTGTCACACGATGAGCTACCCTCTGAACTGGTGCCATGAGAGGGTTTTTCCGCAGTGCCGCTCATCTCAGACCCGACCGATACAAGTCTGGATGGATTACGTCGTTTTCGGTGGTGTTGAACCCGCTGGACGAGCTGGAGAAGCTGTAAACGTTTGGAGGAACACAGGTTAAAATGGTAGGATAAAGTGTTATTCCAATAATTTTCCTTTACGCCCATGTGACCAATGTCTTCGTGGAGTCCAAATTCATTAATAACGGCTAAAAAACCACGAAACATGCAAAATTCTTACGCATAAAACAATGATAGATGCGGATGCGCTACTAAACGTTAGCTCAGGCCGGTTTTTCGTCATGTTATATAACTAAATGTCAAACTGGACAGATCCTCCTTACGGTACATGAACATACTCCTTAAAAAATGTGGATTTTTTGTAATGTACTACTTATAAGGATGCTGAAACTCCGTCGACAGCCCAAGACCGGTTTCGACCTTCTTGGGGTCCATTAGGTAGGCGCAGTCCCCGGGTTTCCGTCAACCTTATGTTCTATTTGAAACCACATTGCACGAAATTAGCGGATATACACTCATTTGCAAACTAATTCGGTTTTTCGAGAGACTCACCTGGAACCTAGCTGAATCTCTCGTTTGTGATGTTCTAAGGCAAACTTATGAGCAGTACATTACAAAGATATACATATATCGCGATATCTCAAATATCGTAGCAAGTGGTCTAATGAGGCACATTCAGTTGCCTGGAAACATCACAAACGAGAGATTCAGCTGGGTTCCAGGTGAGTCTCTCGAAAAACTAAATTAGTTTCCAAATGAGTGTATATTCGCTAACATTTGGAGTTTGTCTAAGTGAGCAATGCTCACGCCTTTTCCGAGAACGAGGTACTACGGTAAGAGTAGTAACAATATTTTCACCACACCCTGATAGATTTCGTTTGCAAGCTTCTGGGTTGGGGAAAATACAAAAAAAAATCAATTTCTAGACGGCAACGTACTTTTCTGCAGACTATCAAATTATTGCAGTGTACATTAGGTGATACAGCTTGTATATATCTGAACATACCAAATTCAACATCGTCTCATTCCTAGTACCCTTCACGGTTTCGTGAAATTTGACAGACAGTTTAAGAAGCAATCGCTTGCCAGGCATCGTCAAACGTGTTACGCCCTTACATCCGTTGCAGGATAGTTACTGACATGGGGAGAAAAGTCTGACTTTCATACAAACTGTTAGCTACAACGGGTACAGTGACAATCGCCCAGAAAAGATTATTCAGTCCGATAATGTCGTTTTTGACAGTTTCTTCTGTGTCAGCCGATTATTCTCACCAGGTGAGGCAGTCTAACGGATGAGATCTACAAAAATTGTACCCATCTCTGTGCGAAGGATGGCGTCTTGCTGACGGAAATGTGCATTATTACTGGAGACGCATGATAAGCGGTGGTCAACTGGAATCGTTCACGAAATGAACATTGGCGTGATCGATTAAGATTGAGCAAGAACAACGATTATTCATTTCATTGTGCGTGTTGATGCTTCGCTGTAAACAAAACGCCTGCAACCCAATCTCGAGACACGAGGTTGGCGAACCGAATTCCGTTCTTAGGGGTTGAGTGATTGCATTAACCACATACCAACACGTTACGGACAAAAACAACCTTAATTTCGAGAAACGGCTTCCACAAGTTTTACTCTGTAATCTCAGTTTTCACGAATAGCTTGAATGAAATCGCAAAACCGGTCGTTGTCACACAAGTGATATAAATCCCAGGGCAAGGCTGGGGCAAGTCCTGGTACGCAAAAACACACCCAGTTCACTGACTAACATGAGTTTCGCTAAAGATTTGCGAATGGTGCACTGCCTGCTGATTCTAAATACGGACGAAAGAGATGCACAGCAAACGTCCAACTGAGAAGTCTCCACTCGGCGGTCCAATCAAAACCTGATCACGCGATGGCCTTCAGCTATAACCCGGGAGGCGGTGGAATCAAATCATCTCGGAACTACACTAGCTGAGCGCTACGAGTTATTTTCGATAAGAAAGGAACAGTTGTGAGGAGCTTCTCGGTTTTCAGCCTAGGACTGGCCTAAAAAATCTCAACTGAAACCTACAGATCTGATACTATCAGCAAACAATGTCAACAATCATTATTTTCCACTCGCTTTGCATGTCAGAAAAGCCAGCGTTTGTAGTAATTTCCTATCGCTCTGCTCTTCCAATCTCGAGACACGAGGTTGGCGAACCGAATTCCGTTCTTAGGGGTTGAGTGATTGCATTAACCACATACCAACACGTTACGGACAAAAACAACCTTAATTTCGAGAAACGGCTTCCACAAGTTTTACTCTGTAATCTCAGTTTTCACGAATAGCTTGAATGAAATCGCAAAACCGGTCGTTGTCACACAAGTGATATAAATCCCAGGGCAAGGCTGGGGCAAGTCCTGGTACGCAAAAACACACCCAGTTCACTGACTAACATGAGTTTCGCTAAAGATTTGCGAATGGTGCACTGCCTGCTGATTCTAAATACGGACGAAAGAGATGCACAGCAAACGTCCAACTGAGAAGTCTCCACTCGGCGGTCCAATCAAAACCTGATCACGCGATGGCCTTCAGCTATAACCCGGGAGGCGGTGGAATCAAATCATCTCGGAACTACACTAGCTGAGCGCTACGAGTTATTTTCGATAAGAAAGGAACAGTTGTGAGGAGCTTCTCGGTTTTCAGCCTAGGACTGGCCTAAAAAATCTCAACTGAAACCTACAGATCTGATACTATCAGCAAACAATGTCAACAATCATTATTTTCCACTCGCTTTGCATGTCAGAAAAGCCAGCGTTTGTAGTAATTTCCTACCGCTCTTTTGACAAGTTCACTGATAATAGACGCACCACGTTTTTGGTCAGTGTCATGTGGTTATATTCTTACTTTTTTTAGGATCCGAGGTTATGGAGAACACTGCTTTTTGTTCCAGACAAAATTTAGGAAATAACTTTTTATTTCCCCGGCTTGCTGAGCATAAAAGATACATTTGTATGCTAATTTCAAGAGCACCAGCCGTTGAGTCAAATGGCAAACTTACACGTCTTTTTAAGTCGCACTGAGTGCTTCCACTACGGAACTTCGACATTTAACGGGATCCTCAGTTTAGTTGCATTGTCAGTAAAAATAAAGTGCTTCTTGAACTTTCGAAACCCGCCATTCTCGTCTGACATCCAGCTATTTTCCTGCCTGACACATCTATCAACAAAACGACATTAATCTTTCGACACAAAGTGAATCTCAAGAAAAGATGTTCGGCAAACGTCTCATCAAGAAGTAATAAAGTAGAACACATGACGCAGTTCTTTTCTGCGTTGGTTTATAGCTCCAGTTCGACTACACTGGCGCTGTACATCGGTGCTGTATTACCCAGAACCAGGTCGATACAACCTGACTGCAGAAAATGGACATTTATTGTGTCAACCGTCATTAGCGCTATACCCTAGTGGGGCTGTGCAGCATCGTACCATAATCTTAAGAGCCGGCGATGGATGGCGCCGACGTCGCTACCCCGAAACACCTCATGCACTTCGACTCATTCCGGGACAAACTCGCCCTAGTTCGCTTGGGGGCTTGGCGTGCTGACACCACAGGCCCAAGGGCATGCACACAGCATGCTTTTGAGGGTAAACGCGATGCAAATGAGTGAACGGCCGTAAGAATGGCTCCGTTTCGGTCCGCGGCCCTCCATCCACCTATCACATATGCGGAACAACACTGCGCCACAAAGACGTATTTCATTCCCAGCTTGATCCGCCTCAAGTTTGTGAACGCCATAGAGTGCAAAATGTGCTGCTGCGATAACTGGGACCAGTAGATTTGAGAGCTAATCATAACGTTTACAGTTATCTTTAACCGCAGGGTTATTCCGGTGTTTGAGTACTTTACAGATCACCAGGGCCATTTGTAATGGCAGTCAGGTGCATGAATCTTGAAACACTGTCACTAAAATATAGGCATTTGCACTCCGTCATCGGCATTGACAATGGACATTTGGACCAGAATCTAGAGGTGCAAATTAGTTGCGTTGTTCGAGGCATTCTAAAGTGGTTTCACAAAATACTACATAAAGTCGTTACAGTAGACTACTTATCCTTTCGCATAGTGCCTTCCTTCAACGTCAGAGTTGTTGGAGGGTGCAAATAGACAATGCACAAACAAAAAAAAGTTATTCACCTGCGCTAGAGAGCATGCTCGTTCAGCTGTAGCACTCTTTCGGTGCCTAACTGCCACGTCACCCAAAGGTTGCACGAGGGCTGGGATACTGCCAGGTTGCCCAAGCCTAGACAGGGGAAGTCGAGAGGGAGAGGTCGGGTTCGCAAACCACGGAACCTGCGGTCAGTAAATTTGCGCTCTAACCACTTGAGCCATCTCGCTCCCTAGAGAGCACGACAGGGAGGAGATGGCTCAGTGGTTAGAGCGCGAATTTACCGACCGAAAGGTCCGTGTTTCGAATCCGACGTCTTCCTACCGAGTTCCACTCTCTAGGCTTGGGCGACCTAGCGGCATCCAATACCTCATGATTAGTCCAGGTGGCACGGAAGCTAGACACCAAAAGGGTGTTACAGCTGAGCATTTTTTACTTTTATTTTACAAGGCACGATTTATACAATCGTATGATACTCATCTAATAAGATAAGTCATCTAATGGTTGTGATATTATGTACCACATGAAATCGGGAATCTAGAAACTTTGATTTTTGAGTCTCCCCAATGATCTGAGTGTTCTGGGGGGTTAGGATGAAACGTCGCCTAAAATGTTCAGTTCCGACAGCGGCTTCCCTCGAATGCTAATTCACTGAGGCCTGTGTGGTTATCAAAGTATTTCCCCTTGTTATTATTCCGAGGAAATAAAGTTTTCAACTGCAACGTGTAATTTTTCTTCTGATTATGCAGACAATAATTTGCGAATTTGTACCAAAATCTACCTACGAAACGAAGAGATAAACAAACAGGGTAGCTGGATGCTTGGTGGAACGGAACGCATTGCGTAGCGGAACGACTGGAGTTGGCGGAAGTCAGATGGTTATTTGCGGAAAAATGTGCGCTTCGACTGAAGTTGTTAGAGTAACCTGATGAAAAAGTCAAGCACATTTTTCCGGAGAATTAGGGCGTGCAGTATTTCAATAAAAAAGTCCACGCTATGCTTGTGAGTACACATGAGCGACAGGTTACGAATAGATCAAATCCTAAAGAAACTTCATTGCACTGCTGCCTCCCCAAATGAAATCAACTCTTTTCGATGCCAAGAACATGTTGAACAGCTAGCCGTAAGTCTTTTCTAGTCGAGTTGACTTGTCCAGTCTAATTTGATGCACACTATTCATTCATCATGCAGTACGTGGTGCTGCAACGCTCGTCAGACACTACTCGATATTACTTTTTTCCCCAAATCTTCCTTCTGTTCACAAAGAACGACATTTTGTTTTGAACGATGCCATGCCAATACGAAGAAAAGTGGCAACGCAAAGTTTTTCAACGCCCACACGCACGCACTGCAACCGGCCACCAACTGAATAACAATACCCCACGTAACCATCCATTAGGTGATCGTGACAACAGTTGTGCGATTCAATCATTTATGTCTAGCCCCATTAGAGCTATGAGTGACCGCCGCTGGTTCGGTGTGTTTCGCTGCCTCCAAGCTGCTGTTTACGTGTCCCCAACTTCCTACGTGCCTCAGGGACAAATCTGGTTGTTGTCTAATCACGGTGAGGAAATTCAACAATAACACCAACTGACAACGCACAGTAAGCGTGAGAGACAGAGCAAAACATGAAATCCTTCGTTAACTCTGTTTTACAAACCTGCAAGTTTTCCGCGTAATGATGAGCACCGGACGAGGCTTCGATTACAATACAGTGTTGGCAGTCGACGCCTCCTAAACAGTCACGTAGAAGACGTGCCAAAGGACTGTGACGGTAGGGAGTGTAGGTTTGACCACTCAAGATGGAAAGGATAACTGAAATGATGGAGTCAGTTGACAGTTTCGTCTTCGTCATTCTGGACGATGTTGTGATGGGTGGGGATGCCGAAGATGGAGTATTTGAGGTAGATATTCTTGAAACAGCAGAAGCTACGTCTCGCGCATCGGGACAGCGGGCATCAAGTTCGATCAGATGAAGGCGACTGCGACCACCTGAAACTAATGGATTGAAAAACGAGAAAAAGTATAGACCGAAAGGATGTGTTGAACGGGTAGTTTTCGAACTGAAACGGAACAAATTTTTCAGAGACCATATTCCTTGCACACAAGGTAAAAAAGCGGGAATCACATGTTATCGCAGACCGAGATGGTACACTAAGAATGTTTCTGCCGATATCGGTCTTGCTCTGTCACGTAGCTGTAGTTGCCTGACGGTCCTTCAGACACACCTGCAAACATCTTACAACAAATACACTACATAACACTATGCACTTTCAAGAACCTCACTGAACTTGAAAAAGTGAGCTAGCGGTTCAAATGACTCTCTCAGACAGAAACAATCATGAGTCAATCAAATCCGCTTTCCACAACCAAAATGAAGCTAAATTTCAGGGAAATTCGCTACTTCCTCATGAACAACCAAATGATTTTTAGTTTTAAGTAGTAAGCAACTTATTTTCCAAAGTCACGCAGCATCCTCAATTATTTTCATCCTTTTCAGTTGTCCCTTGAAGAAGGGGGGTGGACCAAACATGACCTACAAGGAGCTGGGTCACCCTCGTTTGCAGGACGTAATATGCGCAGGGGGAAGCGTTGTCCACTTGTAGAATGACCCCTAAACCAAGATTTGCCCGTAGGCCATCCATGAACAAAGCAGGTGTGATGAACCGAGTGACTGGATGGGATGTGTTACTAAATCTTGCCTAAGTGAAAATTACTCACATTTATGATTAAAGTGTTCGAGCTCAGGATCAACACATTCCAGATTCAAAACTTGTAAAATATACCATGCTGATTAATTTTTAAATTACTTTTCGGCTTCTGGTTTGCCCGACCAAGTCAAGGAACTTATGAGTCCTCAAATTCAGTGATTCAACTGCACGTAAACTGGTAACCTCCCGATGATTTTGACACAAACATTCAACGAGAAGCTCAACGTTTGGAACAGAATTGTTGTCAAGTTTAGCTGATAACTATATCGACCTAAGTTAGGAGTCTGTCGGATTCTGCTGCTACCGGTGAAATGACCTCCTGATTAAATGTCACTTTTAATCAGCTCTGCTTACTCATCGAGCTTGCACAAAGGTGTCAAATGAAAAGAACACTGGGTTTCCGGACCACGGAAGTGCTCTCAGACTGATTTTCTGAACAAAACGTATACTGGTCGATTGATGTGAGTCGAAGGTTTGTTGTGAGAAAGATCCTTTTTATGCAAATGAGACAGCTGGTTGGATTACGTTTTCGTGATAAAATTTATGTAACCAAGTACGCATATATATGGTTTAGTTTTTCGGGCTGATGGCTCGGATACTTCCCAGTACAAACATTAAACCCAGTAATGACAGAAGTTTTTTGACTGCAAACTGAAAAACAAGATCGGCGGTTGCCGAGCTTGTCAGACCCACCTTATGGGGAAGAGCAAGGAGAAAATGTCACGCTACCCAATTGTCGGACGCGCGGGCAAAAGAACGTTTGCGGCCTATTCCTGTGTACAATTCTTGTGTGTGTGTGTGTGGATGAATTAATGGTTGCCGGCCAGTTCAACGACATAATGACTTTGAATTCGGAAAGTTGTTTTTAAGAAGCTCCCGGCTATTTTATCGTTTGGTTTTCGGCCGTCGTTTCTCCCCGCTCAAAATGTGTGTGTGTGTGTGCTAAGACAGTCGTCCCTCATATGCAAAACTTCAGTGAACGGCAACTCTGTTGTTGTGTATCGGAGGTTGAAGTCGAGTTCAAACGTTATCCAAAGAGGCATGTGACGTTGGATACTGTATAAGCCATTCCGTGGAGCAAGTTTTATGACGCTGTTGGAAATTGAGGAGAAACAGCCAATGTGTGCACCATTGAAGATAGGTATGTCTGTGTGGACAGGAGAATATTTCCCAAAACCGTCGTGCAATAAAATGGCCGATTAACATCAAAGCATTTTCTTCCACAATGAAACTTTACCAATAAATAGGTCGGTAAAACTGCACAAAATGAGAAGAATCCTTTAACAAACCACCGTTTTCGGGGCGCCGCTTAGTATTTGACTTAAAGATAATTTCAACAAACCGCTTGGGGAGCGTATTTAAGTTTGTACAGTCAAGTAGTCATTTCCGAGACAACAACTATACTACAACCGGTTTTTCCTTTGATTTGCTCTATAATTCATGAGGTACTGGTGAAAGGAAGAAGGCTTTCGCTGCGGAGTTATTCATTAGGAAATGCCAACTGACCGGTTACAGACCACTGAACAGGGAAGCAAAACTCTCATTTGCATCTTAGTTAGAAAAACTGGACACCGATCTTCTCCCGAACAAGTCTTCTTGAACTTTCCTGGAGATTCATTGACTCCACTCATTCGTCAGTCAAATCCAAACAAATGTTACAAAGTGGCTTCACGAATTCCGCAACAGATCTCCCTTTTTCAATAGACGTAAAGCGAAATTCAACGAGCAACACATACTACTCGCGTGCCTCCCCATCAGTAGTATCACCGTTACACTAGTAAGCTATTCCAACAACTCAGCCACAGCCAAATCAACTTGTCGGTACGGCAAATTACTTGGATACTCGGACATATTTTATGTATTTTTTTGGAAGAGAGTAGCAAAAGTGCTTAAAACCCGCGTTTGTTTGAGTCGTGAATATCGACATCGTTCAGTTATAACACTCTGCCATGCCACCCGAAAGAAGCGCGAAGGCTGTGGCAGGACAAAGGAAGTCGAGAGGTGGAGGTCGTGTTCGAATCACGAACCTTGCGGTCAGTAGATTTGTGCTCGAACCACCGAGCCATCTCGTCCCCTTCTCTTGAATATATGGCAACGATACTTTATATGTCGGCTGTATATGTTATAACGAGATAACATTGTCATGTTTGAAGACTAATGGTTAAACGTACGAGAAAACAAAGATAGAATGGTCGAGATACCACTGGATAATGAAGTAATGTTTGTAATAGTTGGTCGTTTGAAGGCAAAACTGCTAGGCATGCTTCATCCGGTCAGAAAAGAGTGGTCGTTTTTGAGAAAACTGGTTTCATGGAGATGTCCCCATGTTGTGTGAACTTTTTTTCATACAACAGAAATGGTGCCATCATTGGCGTTAACGAACAGTGGAAAAAGTGATCACAGTTCTGCGAAATTTGAGAAGTCTGGTGGAGTTTCTTAGAGTTTTCTACACATTTACCAATCTGATCGAACGACATACCGAAAAGTGTGAAAAAGCTGAGCTTATGAGACCCCAAATTGTCTAAGACGAGAAAGCAAGCCGCCGCCACAATCCATTTTACATTGCAGCATCAGCAGAAACTAACCTTCGGAACTGCCACCACACTTTTCAATTCGATATTGATACAGATGAAGTGTGAAGAAAAAGTGGGAAGTGTTTAGGTTTGAGGTCTGGAGATCGGACAAAGTATGCAATGCGTCGGACTGAACGAGTGCTGTTGCATGCTGCTTGTTTGCCCGAGCCCTGGCATTCAGCGCAGAATCGAGATAGAACGCTGCCTTCTCCGGGGTCGGAGCTCTCAGTTCACTTTGGTTTTCCATGGATGATCTCGCTACTGACTCTTCACGTAAATACAAACCAGGTGGATGTGCTCCCAATGCATCGGAAGCTAGACGATTGAAAAAGAAGTAAATGTGCGTCATTTTTAGGCTCACATAGTTATAACTGCGACTGTTCAACCTAAATGGAGCATTGCAGTTTGAAAGTGGCCCGGGTATGGAGCATTGCATTTCCTCAAACATCTATCACAGAGTAAGTAAAATGGTCAAAAAAGTGCCGAGCTGACAACTCGGTATCGCACGGCTGCTTTCAACTTTCTGATTGGTTTTTAGATGATAGGAAATGTTACTTATTAAGTTGGATACGTAAGCATCTAATGAGGGTGGAACCTGTTGGATGTACACGTACACGATGTACACAGGGTAATACACTACTCATAAGGTCGCTGAAAATTCTTCGACAGCCTACGATCGGTTTTGTCCTTCTCGAGTCTTGTAAGATGTATGCAGTCCCCGATTATCGTACCAAATGAAACATGAGTCGGCCTGGTGCAGCACATGCAGTTGCTTAAAAACATCAGATTCAGCTGGGTTCTAGGTGAGTCTTTAGCAGAACGAAACAATAGATATTCACGAAAACAAAGGAGCTAGCGGCAAAATGGGATTGCTGATATTGGCTTACGCACTTTGCGGAGAATACAGGATAATGAAGCTGGGCAAAACGTATGAAATAATCAATCAACTAGGATGCGGGTTGTGAGAACCTGATATTTTTCAAACCTTTATCATTTTGACAGGGACTAACATTTAGAATATTATTTGAAAGGACGCACTCCTTCTTCTATCTCTATTGGGAAACAACTGAACCGATTGCTACTTCAGGCGCATCCTGGCCGTCCACTTCCAAGGCAGATACGCGAACGGAAAACCGCGCCCCCGTTTGCTCCTTTTGTTCTGCAATTAACTTGAACAACCACGAAATTGAGCATGGAATGATGCCGAGGTCCGTGGAAGGTTTGTCGCTGCCGGTTATGATCCCTCCATGGTCTGTTTTGGAAGAATGGAAAGCTAAATTTTGGAGGCGTTCTTTGTACACGGCCAGAAAAAACAAGCATCTATACACACACTGCTAATTAATACTGGTCTCGGAAGAAATACTCCTAGACATGAGAATTCACCGGTGACGGTGAGAGAATAATGATGATTCAATTCTGCTTTTGCTGATGGACAGCTGTCTGTACGCATCGTTGACCGTGAATCTGAGAATTTTGGCACGAAAAGATGTTCCAGTAGACTAAGTGTTCATACCAAGACTTACGTATTTCAGGGCAGAATTTTAATAAGAGGAATACAGAATAGATTTAAATCTTTGGAGCGGGTTTTTAAACCCAAGTGTCTCATTTAGGGTAGTCAAAAATGTTTATGGCCAATCATTCTCCGCGGTTTTGAATGAAATGACATCTAGCCTGCATGGGATTGATTGAGGCCAGGTTGTTCACGCTGCTTAGATGAGCCAAAACGTAACAGTTTTTAACTTTCCTCCCATTCGATTAATTCCCCATCGTAGAATAAATCTTTGTTGTGTTCTCACAGTGATCGCGCTATCATAATCCGAACTAACGTCAGAATCGTCTTTCACTTCTAGACTCCATTAATCTGGCGGCATTTCATCCAGCGAAGCGTTTGTTTTTGGCGCTCTGCCAGCTTGAAAATTCAGAAAGTGGTGAATGTGTTCAGAGTGAGAAACAACAAAACTGATACAAAATTCTTTCGGTCACTTTTATCTTGAACTGACTTTTCGTTCGGAATCAAGGTTCTGTCCCACAAAACTGTGCACACATAAAACACTTTTGCGGTAACTGGCGTGTAGCTTCGAAAACAACATACAACTTGTTGTGTTTTTGAACTGACGAACCAAGAAATATTCTGGCATTACTGCAAGAGTGACTAGATCTCAAATCAGGGTGATGTACCGAGCGCGGAGGGTGTTGCATGTTCCAGTTGACTGCCGTAGAGTTGCGTATGAAGAATTGCGTGTGTATAATAAATACTCCTCAAATGTTCGTTAACTTGAGTCGAACAAGGTAAAAGTGAACGGCGGTTGCAGACTGGATTATCTTTTTTGACGTTACTTACTGCTCCCATTTGGGTCATACATATATTCGCTTTTAATGTGGTATCACAGTTAAAAAATAACTTCGTTGCTTCCGCACATTAAACGAGTAACTGTCGGGTTTAAATTGATTCACTGTCTTATCATCTGTGAACATTTTGTTGGGCTTTCCCGGCCTTTCTGATGACGACGTCTTCGAAAAGACAAATTACTCTGTCTCGGTTCATCCGTTAATGAATATATTTGAGTAGGCAGTAAGGGGTTTATACAAGGGATGTATAGGGACGAGTTCGTCTTCCAAAACTGTTGAAGGAATTATCCGAGAATAAACGCAACTCTGTACCATTCCACCATAGACCGCAGATCAGTTAAACTGAAGTAGATTGATATTCACCTTGATCCACCTTGCAAGCAAGAACTTCTTCTACCAGGCCTCAATACCATTTCCAGTTTCTCCCCCAAAACAAGTCAACTTGAGGTCACAGAACAAGCGGCACTCACTACAGAACACTACAACTGTAACCGTGAACTTGGCCATATTAATAAACAAAATTGATAAGTTACACACTCTATATGCTGAATTCCCCCCTGAAGTCATCGCAAGAAAGTGGACATAAATTATTCCTCCCAGAAAAGAGTGAAAACAGTGTTTTAACTAATATTCATCTTGAGCTACTTGGATTTTGATTCCATCAATCTTTCTACGAAAGAAAATTTCAGTCCTGGTGAGATGTGTGGACTGTCAAAATCCCGGTAATTTCTGTACCACGCTCGACAAACAATAACTGAAAGCCGTGAGTTTCACACCATTGCTCAGTTGCCTAAATGATGATGTATCAGTGGAATGCTTTCATCCTAGTCGAATTTGTGGTGAACGGGTTGGGTTGAAATCGACCAAATTACATGCTTGCTTGTTCCTACGTAACGTTGAAGTTTCAACCGAGCGGTTAAAAGTAACCAATTTATGCATGTGTGGCCTATTTTGTGGAGAACATCAAAGCTGCCGTCATTTTTGCAACCTAATGATGTATTGCTTTTTCAACTTGAATGTCATCAGTCTGCGGAGAGAATCGTGAAGGCGACAGTACCAGACAGCAAACTTTAAGCAAATATTTGTTCACTTTATGGCAAATACAACGAAAACGGATGGCGTTTGCGTGGGCTATATCGAGAGATATATCGGCAAGCCCATTGAAATCATCCGGGATGAAATTAAGAATCGAGTAAAGATGTTGGTAACTACCAAACAAAACCAAACGTAGCTATGGTTGCCAACTCACTTGACCGACAATTGGTTAAAACGATGAGACAGCAATCGGAACCGCTGACCACAGCCTGAATGATGTCTGGTAGCGCCGCAGCACAGATATCACCCTGAATATAAAGAAAGGTTTGTAGAAATAGGTAAATGTGTTGATGTAGCTAATGGTGATCTTCGTTTGCGTTGTCAAGGTAGGGGATTTTCCAGTTCAATCAACGCTACTCATATTCAGAAAAAGCGAGAGAAAACAAAGCAATAGTTTCACAGCAGTGTGGAAGAGAGTCGTAAATCTAGGTATATGATATCCATAATTTTCTCCATTCCAAAGTTCAGAATCCGTTTGGTTGGGTTTTGTTTAGTTACACCTTCAAAGTCTGGTGTGGAATTTAGGCTATTTTCTCGAATTTAACAGAGCCACGGCAAAATCACTTCCGAATACTTACTCTATTCTATTGAGTTTACCGGGATCTGAGTAGTAGAACGCAACTTGTAATGGTTTTGCCACTATTGTTAATATCGTACTTGACAGGCTTTACTAAAGACTGGGTAGTATACACGTAAAAGTGCCTCTTAAGCTATCGGGTCGACTGACGTTGGTTGCGTCTTGAGTCAATGAAAAAGAACACTTGTTGTCCGTCAGCAAGGGTAGCAATCTGAAATGCGTTGTAGTTCAGACCAAGGTGATAGTAAAATGATTCTTATGTTAGAATTTTGTCTGGAAAGTCAGTGAAAAAACAGGAGGTATATTGTAACCAGGCGCCGGGTCGAAAAATTCGATATCCTTGCTGAGCTCATGTATGGATTTACCAATAAAATTTTCAGTATTCGTTTTCATATCGAAACATTTATGCACAACACATTGCATAAGACGAGCCCTTTGCCTGGCCTCGGAACCCCGTTACCATTAGGATTTCCTCACGGGAAAAAGTCAAAATGCACAATCAAAGCAAATATGTGAAAAAAGGGTAAATCACATGAACATGTCGCTGGAATTTCTTATAATTTCAGTATAGGAAAAACTATGAGGTACACCCATTATCAAACACCACAATAATGGGTATTACCCTTCAGCTGGCAATCCCTTCAAAAAGAAAAGCAGAACAATATCTTACCAGGATTCATCAGATGGCAACAAAAGAGCTCTGAAACAGCAAGGACCGGGGCTGTTTTTTGTTAACTTCTCGTGTTAAACGCTCGAGAAAGATGAAAATGGAATACATCTACCGCCTTCTGTGAACAGCTGGCAGATGGCTTATAACCAAGTATGCATGGGTTTACTGAGACAGAAGGCCAGTTAAAAATAACTGTCGTTCAGCTGTATCATCCTTCCGGTGTCTAGCTGCCATGTCACACGAAGGAGGCACGAGGGCTAGGATATTGCCAGGTTGCCCAAGCCTAGACAGGGAAAGTCGAGTGGCAGAGGTCGGGTTCGAACCTCGGATGTTCCGGTCACTAAATTCGCGCTCTAACCACTGGGCCACCGTGACCCCAACAATCTCTGTATGGTAACAAGGTGCGTTGTTTGTAATACGCAACAAACATTTAAGTCTTTGATTTCAACGGCTATTTTTAAATGAATTTCATTGGTTGTAACTTTTTCTGAGTTCCACACGGAAAATATTATTCGTTTGTTAGTCTGACGCTCTTGTCTCGCTGGGACTGAGTGCACAAAGTGATGTTCATGTGATTTTGTTGCTCATCTGTCAGATCATCCACCTAATATGGCCGTGAAATCTACTTACTGACTTAATTCACCATCTTTGGCAGACACTGTTGACACTGAACGCTGTGAAGCAGAAAATGCATAAAACTGGAAACAGCAGTGCCTTTATCGAAACCACATTGCAAGAAAGTGACATCAATGCCCTTCTGTATGTAAGACCCTTTGCAAACAGTTTTGGTCTACAAAACACCTAAATTCGACATAATCTGGACGAGGTTCATAAGGCTGAGTAATACCATTGCCTAACAGGGTTCTGTGGAAACAGTTTGACAGTCGCGAAGCAATGATTGTTACTATATGGGAGCAAGATAGGACATCATAACAGGATAGACTGATTTCAGCTATTTCACATTTGTCCTCAATTGCTCAGAAGCTAGGGCAGAATAACGGGTGCTAAAAGTGATTCTGGTTGTATGTAAACAGTTTATCCTGTCACCCTTACTTACTGAAAGTGATTTCTCCAGCTGAACTCAACACAGTCATACTGATCGATCAATATCCTAATTGGAATATGGGTATCGGTAAAAACGTGTGATTTTGCATCTCCTCACTTGCAATTTGGAATAGTTTGCGTCTACCAAATTTACTGGAACATGAGTTTTTGGGTATGACGGTAAGGCAGCCTACACAGCAAAGCACAGCTTCCCAACTATGGACCGATGATGTCATCTCCAGCAAATCTCCCTGCGAATTTTGCCGGGAGCCGCGCAGTAACACACATCAGGGTGGCAGTGGGCAGATTAGCAGCCTCCAATTGACCTTGCGGTTTTCATTCGTAGGGCGAAAATGGCCGGTGTTTAGTCTTTGGAACATACAGCAAACTAGCTTGGTTTCAACAACGGTTGCGTTAGCCATCTGGACCAGTGAGTATGGTGGGGATCCGCAAGACCGACACTAATAAGGCAAATGCGTCTTGTTGTTGCGCAAATCCAGGTGGCCGACCATTACTGAATAAATAACGGTACTTGGTCACAACCAAGGTGAGCGCAAAACGTATAGAGTGGACAAACAATACTGATCGACCAATATGTGAGCCCGGAATTCAGCTGTGGTGATTTTGTCGCTTTCACAAACAGCTTAGCAGGGGTTGACACAATTAGTCCGCCAACAAGCATATCTTCGGGCAGCCAGTGAGCTGGAAATCTGTAAGCTTGTCGCAAACATCTAAACTGCCAAGTGCGTGAAACTTCCATGGAAAAAATAATTCGGTACAGTCGTTCCGTTCAAACATAAAACTTACCGTTGCCTCCTGCTCGGAGAATACTTCATCAAATACAACCATCTTTGGCGCTCCGAATCCAGCCCGACGCTGACCGACGGGTATTGCTGTGGATGGGCTCGGACAAATAAGCGTGGCCTGTTTGCGTCTCTTTTCAATAGTCAGGCATGTACCGAGAGAGCCAAACTTTGAAGCCTCCGGTGGGACCAAGCGGAGCATTGTTTTGACCTGTATAGTGGAAATAAAAGTCGTAGTATGATGGGAAAAAAATCACAAATGGATCTTTGGACCTTTCATGCGTGAACATCTTGTATCATGAGCCTAACATTTACCACACCACGATGACATTGGTCGAAGCTGAGATAATTTCACCTCGTTTGCAGGAAAAATCATAGAAAAAGATATTTTCCGTCACCAGTCCTTGCCGACTTAAATGGTGCGATGTTCTTCCAAGATCTCACCCTGTAAATGAGAAGGATCTCATTCTTATTGGGATCACGAGAAGTGAGAATCTCACGAGACTCCAGAAGACTGAAACCATGACCTACCGGCAAGTAGTTTGGGACACTTAACCGGATATTAGTTGAGGAGTAAACCATTTGGTCACGAACGGCTGATTAACTGTGATTAGACTTCGCATGCAGCTTCCCTCTGTGTTTTTCATCTGACTGCATAGAAGTGCTAGGGACCGACACACCATAGTGCATTCGTTCGTGTTTGCTCAGATTAGTACAATAAAGTTTGCAAAATGAACTAGATCATATAAGCTTTTAAATTCTACCAATATGTAGTTAATATCCTTGCCTGCGTATTCCCTCTCCCTTGTCAAGTAAAAAGGAACGAAATAGTGGTGGAAGCTAGGGCACTTAAGATAACTAAGATGGTAGTATTCAAATGTAGTCCACTTCAGATTTCAGCCAATGGGATCTGGTGAGTTGCAAAGTCAATCGATTAATCAATCATTTGGTCCCGAGTTATTCTACTGTTTGTCAGTCAGATGCGTTTCGTTCTACTTGATCAAGGGTATTCGATCTTTTACAACCGAGATTCATCACTTCCACGGGATTACTAAAAGCAGCCTCTAGTTTCCATCCACGTAAGCGCTCAGATCGCTCAGGTAACCATATTTGATCCCTCCCAACTTCAGAACACCTTTATTTTATGGGTGGTGGCTGGCTGTGTTAGGCGCCCATTACGTTTATTCAAGATAGCCTCAACCTGGTGGGCACCGCTACTTGTTGAGCTTTTATTCGGAGTATTACAAATCAGATTTTCGATGCAGTTCAAAAGACTTGATAACAGCACTTTAGTTTATCACAGAATATATGTCAACTCTCACTGATGTGTCAAACTGAACAACTATTGACGTTATTTCCAACTTGCGTTGTGTATTTCAAGTAGCACGTCAATCGAATTCCACCACACTCACATTACGGTATAATTTGGTCGTCTATAGAGTCAGGACGCCCAGTTTGACCGAATAAAAGGTGTCTTATCTATCTTACCTCGAAAAAGTTTCACAAAATTTGGGGGAGAGTTTATTCTAGTAAGCACGTTACTGATCGATTAGGTCCCAAAATTCCATTAACGTTTTTGCATTCTTACTGGATCACTTCCATCCCAGTTGTCTGTCGCTCCCTCCAGACGAGTTAGCTCATTCATGCATGCTGTGAAACACTGATTAATCCTCGTGGATTTAGGTGCTCACCTATCGACAACTTTGTTTAGTGTCAACAATTAACGTTGGAGGTTTGGTTCTTGTCTGTGAGTGAACAATCGACCACAAATTTGTCCTGAAAGTTAAGCCAACATGTAGTGGAAAACAGAGAATCATTGCTCAGCTGCCCCATCCTTTCCGATCTCAGAAATCACAAAAGTGACTTTTCGCTATCAAACTTTCTTCCATTCATCTGAGATATAGCCACACAAAGAGGAAACTAAGGTACGAACGCAGCGACGTAAGGGTGGTTGCGCCAAGCTCAGTTTGCGCACAATTTAAACTCGCTGAGGAGCAGTTCTCTGCCACATGACCACTAACCAGAATATCATGTTACGTAAAGTTCCAAAGTTTCCAAGTTGGAAAGTTGGAAAGGGTTGCTTTCTTTCAAAAGTTTGTCCCAGGTCATCGTCCTACTCATTTTAACACTCATTTAACGTGCAAAATTTGAATTTACTTGCTTAGTGGTCCATATAATCAGCATCATTCGTTCTCGGCAAAGCAAACACGACACTCTAGCACACAAAAATATACTTATAAGTCAGTCCATAAGTCATCATCGCGAATACGAGAACGCGCGAGTTTGACTAGTCACACACGCCCTCGTCTACCGGCCAAGTTCATTCAGACGATTCCAACATTTGTGCAAAGGTTTTGAGTTGTCTCAAAGGAGTTCATTCAGATCCAACATTTGTGCAAAGGTTTTGAGTTGTCTCAAAGGATTGCTGTTTCACCCGTGACCCTACAGGTTTACGATGATAACTAACACTAATTTTTCTGGTTTGACATTAGATCAGCCAAGGTGCATGTCGGCGCGAAAATGGAACGTTTCCTTCCTTCACGTTCTAGGAATTAAGATGTTTCAATTGGGTCAACCTATGTACTCTCCCTCCTGAAGTACAGAAGTATTTTTTAAGTAAAAAAAGGTCGAGATGTATCCTTCTATATGTAACGGATCAATCAATGGACCAGTGAAGAACCTTATGTTCCGTACGGTTTCATTAGTACCACATACTCTTCAATCCGTCTGTACTTCAGGCTCCAAGGATGGCGTCTTAGAAGATAGTGTAGCCGTGAAAGGAGTGAGAGATGTTTTAGTCTTAAATTTCTATGGGGAACCAGAAGTATGCTGCCACCAAGTAGAGAAAATTTCAAGACACAGGCACCTCAGTCGCTCATTCTGGAATATATCTATTGCGCAAAAGATTTCCCACACTCAAATCGGTTGATTTCGGCGTTCTGATAGACTGTAGTAACCTTTAGAAAAGAGTCAACTTGAATGACCATAGCTTCGACATCATTGCTAGATCAATGGCTGGTTTTCTATGGAAGCATGTTCCGTTTCAGTAATGTCGACTGGCATTGTACTACAGATGTCCCATCACCCGGTTGCGGTGACAATGTTACCTTTTCCGGCTAAGGTGGCACAAACCGAGAGGTATGACCCTTTTAAAACTCTCTTTAAAGTTTTAGAGTTAGGAAGAAATAATTTTGTTAACAGTTTTAATAACATATACCAGCCCTTCTATCAAGACAAGGACTTTCCACTCACGTGTTTTCGGATGGCCGATTTGGTGGCATAGACATCAAAACCTCAGTTTTTTATCCGCCGATCGAAACGTTAGTGGATTTATGCAACGTGCAGTTTAGCGTGAGGTAGAGCTCAAAGTAATACACTGCTCATGCCAGATACTTTGCAAATAAAGCATCCCAAGGGAGATGATAACGCCCTCGCACCATCCACCCTGTGTATTTAGCAGTGTCCATGGGAATATTCTCATATAACATGCGAAGGTCTTTTGCTTTCAGCTTTCACGGGAAATATTTTCGTGGAGCCTGTTGCGCAGTTGATTATACTCGTGACACGGCAAGATGGAATACTGGTGACCGTTTGCTAAACGACCATCAATTACAGATGATCCAATGAATGGAAATAAGAACGTAATCTGTCACAAAGTGCCACATGTATCCGCTGAAGACATTTGCACCCGGGAGCAAACGTCAATGCAGCTAAGCACTTTACTTCCGGACATCAAAGCAGTATGACTGGAGTCGTTTTTTCTAAAACCCTGACAACACTCATCCAGCGTTCGAGGAAAAAATAGTGCGGTTACGAAATGTTAGAGTGATCAGTACAAAAAGCACCGCATTCTTTAGACTCATCGATCATTTGCAAGCACTAGAAGTGAAGAAGATACACTGCAAATTGCCCATACATTTCGAATCGCACATACTCTTCAATCCGTCTGTACTTCAGGCTCCAAGGATGGCGTCTTAGAAGATAGTGTAGCCGTGAAAGGAGTGAGAGATGTTTTAGTCTTAAATTTCTATGGGGAACCAGAAGTATGCTGCCACCAAGTAGAGAAAATTTCAAGACACAGGCACCTCAGTCGCTCATTCTGGAATATATCTATTGCGCAAAAGATTTCCCACACTCAAATCGGTTGATTTCGGCGTTCTGATAGACTGTAGTAACCTTTAGAAAAGAGTCAACTTGAATGACCATAGCTTCGACATCATTGCTAGATCAATGGCTGGTTTTCTATGGAAGCATGTTCCGTTTCAGTAATGTCGACTGGCATTGTACTACAGATGTCCCATCACCCGGTTGCGGTGACAATGTTACCTTTTCCGGCTAAGGTGGCACAAACCGAGAGGTATGACCCTTTTAAAACTCTCTTTAAAGTTTTAGAGTTAGGAAGAAATAATTTTGTTAACAGTTTTAATAACATATACCAGCCCTTCTATCAAGACAAGGACTTTCCACTCACGTGTTTTCGGATGGCCGATTTGGTGGCATAGACATCAAAACCTCAGTTTTTTATCCGCCGATCGAAACGTTAGTGGATTTATGCAACGTGCAGTTTAGCGTGAGGTAGAGCTCAAAGTAATACACTGCTCATGCCAGATACTTTGCAAATAAAGCATCCCAAGGGAGATGATAACGCCCTCGCACCATCCACCCTGTGTATTTAGCAGTGTCCATGGGAATATTCTCATATAACATGCGAAGGTCTTTTGCTTTCAGCTTTCACGGGAAATATTTTCGTGGAGCCTGTTGCGCAGTTGATTATACTCGTGACACGGCAAGATGGAATACTGGTGACCGTTTGCTAAACGACCATCAATTACAGATGATCCAATGAATGGAAATAAGAACGTAATCTGTCACAAAGTGCCACATGTATCCGCTGAAGACATTTGCACCCGGGAGCAAACGTCAATGCAGCTAAGCACTTTACTTCCGGACATCAAAGCAGTATGACTGGAGTCGTTTTTTCTAAAACCCTGACAACACTCATCCAGCGTTCGAGGAAAAAATAGTGCGGTTACGAAATGTTAGAGTGATCAGTACAAAAAGCACCGCATTCTTTAGACTCATCGATCATTTGCAAGCACTAGAAGTGAAGAAGATACACTGCAAATTGCCCATACATTTCGAATCGCGATCACAACACGGTCCGAGGTGGAAGGCATGGATCTATTTGGTCAGCCAAGGGCTTTACATGTTCAAATTACCTCATACTGCCCTCCCTTATATAGAGCTGCAATGAATGCACCTTATTAAGGGGAACTCACTAATGAACTTCTGCAAAACGAGCCTAATGTGGCCGTTTTAGGACAAAGAAGCTACGGTGACATTTATAATGAAACATTTCATGATTATCTCCAAAGAGACCGGCCAAGTGATAAGACGCATTGGCCCCGTTTGTCGCAATGCTTCCACCGTTTTTGCGAATACCACGCCGAGCAAACACGTAAATGCATTCATGTTTCTAGTGGTGACATTTCAAAAGGATGCGGAATAACAAAAAGTCCTCAAGAAACAATTTAGATCTCGTTAGGTAAAAAGTATTCAAAAGCAACTGACGGTTCCTGGTGTTCTGATCAGTAGCTGGATAACTGCATCCTACAGTGCCTCTGATACCGAATCGAAAACAGAGATCTTCGCCGGGTTTTGTGAAAAATCATTTAGCCCTATGAAACGCTGACATACCAAGGCAGGAATTCATACTATCACTCCGCTGGGAGGGGCCGCACTATCTGGCAGCCATTGTCTTGAGCTGAATAGGTTTACAGAAAGACGGAGGCAAATGCCAAACTGAAATATTGAAGAAATTATCTCAAACTATCAACACATAGACTGATTCGCATGTTAGCTTTTGTTCTTTGTCCTCGTCAGGTCCACTTTCCAACAACTTCTGAGTCTTTTTCATAAAGGAAACTACTCAGAAGGTTGCTGAAAACCTTTCGACAGCCCACGACCGGTTTCACCCTTCTTGGGGCTCATCAGTTAGGTGCAGTCCCCGAGTTTTCGTCAACCTCATGTTCTACGTGAACCCCGGTTTGGACTGTTTTCGAGAAATACACCCATTTGCAAATCAATTTGGTTTTTCACGAGAGACTCAACTGAATCTCTCGTTTATGATATTCTACAATGAGAGATTTAGTTAAGTGCCTCGTGAAAAACCAAAATGATTTGAAAATGACTGTACTTCTGAGTCTTATTTTGCGTATGCATTGAAACTGCCTCCAGAAGCTGCAGATATACACTGACATACGTGTAATTGGAAGGATTGTCGATCCCACTCGTCGTCCACACAGGTCACGCTTGATCCGTTGTTTCATCGTACTGAATTTTGCTGACAAGTCTTCTTGTGTCCAGATGGGAAAGTTAACTCTCATAGGTCCAGTGTCTGTTGGGCAAGTGCTCAGACACAACACATATTGGGTGGTCTACGTTGACATTTTGGTGTTTATCTCTCTTTTTAGTGATTCAGCTGCGGGATGACTTTAATTACTCCACCGTGACTGATTAATTAAATAATTGACCAAGATAGCATCTTGGGACGAGTAACTTCGGGTGATGCAATGTTGCATAGCAGGTAGTTCCTGATAATCATCTGCTAACGGATCTAATGCCTGGTCACAAACTACTCTAACAAAAACACTACGTGATAGCGCTTCTGAGTCTGCGTAGCTGAAAGATTCTGTGAATTCGCTGTTTACCACACCCTGTGAATAACCGTAGAGACAGAGGTGACACTAGTGACACTGGAGGGTGTTACATCATCACCGCTAAAGTTCTCAACTGATTGATAATACGACTTAAAATGTTTACCTTTGTTAAACGGAGGGCGTTATTACACACACGCATACTCGGTACTCGGCGATTGGCACTTTACTGAGGTCTTTAAGAGATCGACCGAGACTTTCTTCAGAGAAACATATATCCTGGCATTGCCTACGGCAGAACAGTTGTTAAGCGTCACAATGTTATAAGTGAAATGTAACATAGCACAGTGATGATACGTAGGTATGAACACTGTCGTTGAGGATATTAGGTGGCATTCCTCAGATGGATTTTCACAGTCATCTTGAGATAAAACAGTATAAGTTCAGTTTTTTTATTGATCTATGGGTTCAGTGTGTACAATTGAAACGATTATGCATACCTCACAGAAAACCTGACCCTGGTGAAGAATCAACAATACCACGTGCGCGAAATTTAACACTTTTGTGAAACGAAATTTTAAAGTTACAGACTCAAAATGTTCAAATTGCTGAATCACCCAGTTACACCTGCGGGAGCACTCATTCCCCTCGTCTCTGTTTGCGGCAAACGTCTCACGAGGGGAATACGTTCTCCCGCTTCTGCTCCAGCCGTTTCGAAGAAACCCAACTCGGCCAAGCCCAAGATCCCGGCGAACCACCCGCCGGTAATCGATATGGTGAAGGCTTCCATCAACGCCGCGAAGGACCGCAAGGGCACATCGAGATTGTCAGCTACTCAAAGTTTTCACCGACCGAATGAGTTGTGTTTTAACACGTAAGAGATTTTCTGTGAAAACTGGATACAAAAAATAAGTGAAATGCCAGTTAGTTCCGATGTGAGCTTCTCTTTTACAGTATAGACTACAGTTCCTCACAGTGACTATTGCTGCAATGCAGAAGAAGTTATGTGTCAAAATTTTGTCCAACGACGTATGTGGAATTCGACGGGCCTCTCAGTTACCACCGAAAAGAACATCAGATCACAAATTTCAGGGTTCAATCACCGAGGAGATCGAATCAGTCAAATAAACCATATCTTTGTCATCGTTTAAGTGTGTGAATGACAGAAGATGAAAATATCGAAAAGACAACATTGCTAGACCTGTTCATCACCGAAATTTCAAAGATTGGACCACCAGTACATGTGACAAAAAGCCCAAGATCCCAGTGAACCATCCACCGGCAATCGACATGATGAAGGCCTCCATCAACGCCGCGAAGAACCCGAACGGCACGTCACTTCCGATCATCAAGAAGTTCACCGCCACCAACCACAAGGATGATGTCGAGAAACTCGGCCCGCACATCCGTCGTGGCATTGTTCATGCCGTCAATAAGGGTGTCCCCGTTCGCGTCGGTAACACACCCACATACAGTTTGGTCCGATTGTAATCAATGTAACATGAAAACCCCAAAAATTGTTACAAAATCGGGAAAAAAGTTTATATTTATAAGTTAACAAAGGTAATATATGACACTCATATAGTTCAGTTATAAAATCAAAGGACGGGATATGTCTATTCAAAAACGAGCACTGTCATACAGAATAGGTTAATATTTCTTAACAAAAATGCTGGTTGAGTAAAAGGGATCACGCAATTCCCCTCACAGTTACGAAAGAGTCATTCCGAAAATTTCTCCTTTGCATGCCTGACCGACTTCTTTGTCGGATCCAACTTGGATTTACACCAGGTTTTTAACACTTCGAAACTGTGAACAAAAGCAATCAGTCTCATTGCCCTATGTATCTAATGTAATCGCATGAGTGCACCTTCTGGTAGTCTGAGCTCTGTTTTGCAGCATCTAGCATGCCACATTTCAGAGTCGATACACTTCTGTCCATTGATAAACGCACACTAACTAAAGGAATAGACGGACGAACATACACTTTTCCCGCTCTGTAGTAGTCAAACTGTCGTATGCACGAGTAAGCTGTTAGCTCAATCCACTGGTGATTTGCAACACTATCTATTTCCACACTTTACTCAACTGTTTTGTCTAAAGACAGTTGCAATCGCTTTATTCCAGACAACTTATGAATTCGTGGTACTATGCACGTAACCAAGGAACATCTTCACTCGTGGCTGATCACTCCATCAAGTTAATTAGCCTGTATGGACATGAAACGCTCGTGACACTACGCACATCACGTTCAGCAGTTTGACTCTCCCCCTAGGGAAATATGGACAACAATTTTGTAAACTTTGGCCATCCTGCAGTGCAATAAGCTAGTTAAAACAGACAAATGATAGTTTGCCTCATGGGTATGACCATTTTAGTTGAGAACTGGGTTCCATTAAGTTGATTTCAAAATGATTAAAGTGGTAATATGAAACAAGCTGATTTAACATTGTTTTTGAGGCGTGTTTGCAGTGAAAACAGGTATGGTTGGATTCGATTTCCTCATCAGTAACCTTAGTAGTCTATGATCACGGACTCACCATGCCTGTGGTTGGAATATGTTGCGTTATTTTAAGGAGTCCGGGAGGAACAGGCGGTGGATGCTTGTGAATGGCGGCAGCGAATCCAGTGAAATGAGTCCGAGTGTATTGGGCCGTAATTGCATGAGGCCAGTCGTTGGAAATCGAGTGCTTTTTGACGTTTTTTGCTCGGGTTCCAGCCTTTTGAACAGTCCTAGTACACCAAAAAAATTACATGCGACATCTGGTAACTGACTAGAAATGTGTTCCTTATGCAGTTGTAGAGGTAGAACAAACTGAGCTTAGACAGGTGAGTTTATTGATGGACTTCTAACCGTATAGGTTTCGGGAAGATTCCAGGAAAATGATATTTTCCTTGAGCCATCAAGATGCCCTGGAGGCAAACAAAAGTAACTGCTAAATGAGGTCTGACAACTGGTTTCGTGAACTTAGGTATGCAAGACTTTGAAATTCAACCGTCACTACGTGGAGTATGTCGTGGCAATGAAACCTCCGCATTATCTATGCTAAACAGGACCATGCATGATTTACCATCATTCGAATATTTTCACATACTGTATTCTACAACCATGCCAAAATACGGTCCTTCTAGCTACACTCAACGGAATGCGAAGAATCCTCACTGACAGTTCTAATATCCAATGCGGGACTTTATAGACACATTCTAAAGTGGGACCTGTTTAATAGTCGGATGGGGTGAAATTGTGTTCCCTGAATTCTACTCAACTTCACCCAATACGACCCCCCTTTTACTGCCAACGGTCAGGTTCACGTGGACCTCACTCTGGTGTTTGTTTTTTATCAGGCGTGGATTTGTCTAGTGAGAGTATGTATTCAGAACTGACGTACACACTGTTAAAGGCTTACTGTTGTTAACCTGATGAAGTCATTTTACAAAAATGGAACGCCAATATACCGCTTTTCAGTTGTCTCCAAAAGATGCTCATAGGACAAACATTGTCTATAATCAGTACTAGCTTTTATCACTTTAGTGTTCGATGATCTGCTTCAGGTGAGCAATGTTCGAAGCGAGTTCGGCCAAATAATATTAGCAAAACTAATAATAATACTAACCAGTTAAATAATAATAATAATCGTTATCGCTTCTCAGCTATGCTAATCATGTACTTCGTTATCGCAAAGGTTAATTTTGACGGTGAGCAGACATGCTAGAAGTTGAAAAATTACGTTTGTAACGCTGCGGTAGGTTTTCGTACAATTACGGTAAATTCTACCCGCTAAGGTCGAGGCCTATCTAGTTGAAAAACTTCATTGCAAATATGACACAATTCTTACTGGGTGGGTATCCTTGCAAGCATCTCTTGTTTTGCTGAAAGCAGTATCCATTTCTGACTATTTCGGGAGTAGAAACAACTCCCACACGACTTCTTTCAACAAGCTTCAAAAAGCCCCAGGTTGTTCACTTTGCGAATTGGGAAGAAATTTCTTCATTGGTTGAATTTAGAGGGATCATGAGTCAGCAAATAATGATCAATGAATCGGATTGGCTTAAAACCAGGAAGATGTTTGGATGACACTAGCCTTAAGAGGAATCAGTCGGACCGTCTGGACTGCCCGCAGAAATAGACAACTTGTTTATCGCTGATATCTCTTCCAGTGCCTTAACAGACCATTCAAGTTCGGACATTACAGTCCATTAAGAAGGCTCCACCAGTTTATGTCATTCGGCAAGCGCTAAACACACCTTCTCTAATTACGTATTTTGAACCAAAGTAGCGTAATAATTATAAACAACATTTTTAAATACTTTCGATTGTGCGCCACGCGAGGGAACATCCAGTATTAGGAGGGCATTTTCGATGACACTTATCAGTGTCCCGCAGCAACAGAGGAGTCATCTCACGGGCGCCTTGGGAGATTCAATTCATGAACCGTCCAGTAAGAAAGGGTTATGCTATTCATCCATGACTGGCTTAGTAAGAGTGTGGCTAGCATACACAAGGAGAACGTAGTGCCACTCATCCTTTGATCACGCAATTCTTATCACGCAATCAACTACTACCACTCTGGATAAATTCCTCAAGTAGTGATCGTTTTCCCGTTTGTTGACGGTGGTTTGTGACTTGTGGGATATCTTTCTCTTTCATAGTGAAGAGCTTCACATTTGCGATCGATACAACCGAATTCAGTTCATATTAGAAACCTGGCACCCCAGTATTGCGATATCAGCGTTGACTTTACGAGTATTCCAACTTTCAACAGACCGTGACTTGAATCAGCCACATCAAGAACTTCGTTGGCTAGGGGAACTTACCTAGGAGAGAGTGGTCCTCCACTCGAGATTTGTGGTAATGAGTGCAACCTTGACATTTCGTTCTTGTGACCACAGCCATCGGCTTGGAGGACCACGGCCCCTTCTTGTGAATCAGTGATTCCGGGGGTGCCGGGAGATTCCACAGTATCTAATGAGCTTGATTCGCGCACAGTCGGATGCATCTGAAACAAAGCAACACAAATAACAAGATGAAAAATCGCTGAACCATCGGCGTCAGCAGGCCTGAAGTCCACTTAAGAATGTGTCAAGTTGGAAAGTCGGCAAAATTCAACCAATGACCTCGAAGATGATGACGTTTTGGACTTTGTAGAATATCAAAAACCATGTGGAGTTGACACCACTGACGCTTTACTTGTAGTAATTATCTGGATATTTGTGAAATGCATCTCATGCCCATTTTTAAATGGTGATTTGTCGATGTGTTGGAAATAATGGATCGATAACTATTCGGACTAATTTACGTGAAGAAGATTGGAAAATGAAACCGGCCCCCAATTTTGAACTGGGAACTAAGCTGAAAATTCATGCTTCAGGGGAAATTGGCGTTTACGATAGTAAAGAAGAAATGACAGAGGTCGTTCAAAAATGGATTGTATACTTGGAAATACGGATTGAGGAGATGCATGAATTAACCGTTGTTTGGATTCGTCAACTAGACGGTGCTTTGATCAGATAGAAAATGAAGATTGTTCTCTCACAAATGTGTGATCAATCAGAACTTGAGCTGAGTCAATTCATCACTACATAAATTACAGCCACTGGATGGAGGAATCAGCTAGCTTGTAAAGCTAGTTTACAGGAAACGTCTTTTAGAAGACGAACAAGGTAGACCTTGGAACGGTTCTACCTATACGAACCTGCTTGAGAATTTTTCTGAGTGATATATTCTGCTTACTACACCACAATTACCTTACTGGGCACACATTTTTAGAGTACGCACTTTTGGGGAAGCTTCCTAACATCGTCCAAATTTGGCTTTTAAGTGTCAGTAGAGTACACACAGATCTGCTGAAAGGTCATACAGTAACGCTCTGTGCTCTTCGAACTGAGAAAATTTTATCTCTTGGTTTGCCGGGAATCCATTCTGCGATAAGAAGCTCATAACGGACTAATCTGCAGGAAGAATGAAGAAACTGTGGAACCAATTGATATTTAGGCTAGAGCGAGATTCCAGCTGGTCCCACACAGCAAGTGAGATGTAAGGTCACCAATGTTTCAGAAATCATCCAAACTCTGAAGAACTGTCCGTTGCCTTAAAACGGGAACTCAACACACCGACACCACACCACAGCGACAAAAAGGGCAATAACTCGTTATTATAAAAATCTTTTAGCTAAAATGTAAAATATACTTAATAGGGCCGGTGGAAAGAAAGCTACCAATGTTTTTGGTCGAATGTTTATTAGTTTAACCGACGAATCTTTCCTGGATGGGAGGGCGCACTATTATCCTAAGTGGCGTCTTGTTTAGGTTTTGCCTGTCTGGAAATTCAGTCTTTCAAGGAACCATTCAACAGGGCAGTTGAGAATTTCCGACCAGAAACTAGTCCAGGCTATTCAGACACCACACAACTGAAACTAGTCATCGTTCTCCCAAGAAACAAACGAAGATGATGGCAACAGCAACAAAAACCACAAAAGTGTTGGGTGATTCGAAGAGAGTGAGTGATCATCGTCGAAAATCTGATCAGATATGGCATACACAGTATAAAAAATGTCATTTTACTGCTTCTCTTCCTTTGTTTGATGCAGGAACTCCTTTTCGGGCCGGGAACTCAGTGGGAATACGTCACCGAGATAATGAACTTCAATCTTCTTGGGTCATTTTTAACCGAATTCTCTACGCATGCAGGGGAAAAGGTTATTCCTCGTTCATAGTCAGTGTTTTAAGCACCACGAATACCTACCACGACCCAGCCTGGTGAATTCATGGAAATTTATGGTCTTCTCATAAACCTGTGCATGAAGTCCTTGAATAAGCGTGAGAAAATAAAATAGAACTTGAATAAAAAGCCTGAATAACAGCATCGTTAATTACTATGACACTCAACTAGGTTGAGCTGTCTGCTACTGTGAACAGCCAACAAGTGAAACATCATACATACATACATACATACATACATACATACATACATACATACATACATACATACATACATACATACATACATACATACATACATACATACATACATACAAACATACATACATACATACATACATACAAACATACATACATACATACATACATACAAACATACATACATACATACATACATACAAACATACATACATACATACATACATACAAACATACATACATACATACATACATACAAACATACATACATACATACATACATACAAACATACATACATACATACATACATACAAACATACATACATACATACATACATACAAACATACATACATACATACATACATACAAACATACATACATACATACATACATACAAACATACATACATACATACATACATACAAACATACATACATACATACATACATACAAACATACATACATACATACATACATACAAACATACATACATAATAAGAACTGCTTTTCGCTAACGTATCGGCATATCTGTTTACACATTTCGGTAGAGATGGTGTTAAAATCTTTCTTCTATAACGAGCACTCCAAGACAGAGCAGCTTTGCGAAATCCTGAGTAAAAAAATTTTTCGTGGGCCCTATAAGCCACTTTGGTATCTACATATTATTCAAACCCCGAGCCGGTTAACATGCCCAGTTTTATGTGTCTTTCAGTTTGTGCGACCGTCGTTGAGAGAATGGGAAATGATGACGTACAGCGTCAACATTTTAAATTCTACTGACTATCAGTGAAAGACAAGAATAGGCCTCAGATTTAGCCAACCTTACTGATGTTAAGAAGTGCATCATCTCAGGGAGCAAGACTTTTTGGTTGGAGTGTAAAAATTGAGAAATCCTCAAACAAATGAAAGATCTTAGTGCGAAAGTGGTGAAGCAGGATTGTTTGCAAAAATTGAACACGAAACTGGTGAAGAGATTATAGAGCGGATACCGCAAAATGGGCTTAACTCAGTGGAATAAGTGAAACCGGAAAATTTGTCATCGTATGCATATTCGTAAAAACTAAATACCTCCCACCTGCTTGATGAATGCACAATTTAGTGAACGGAATATATGTGGAATTATCAATATCAAGACTAACATCCAATGTAGAACGTATTACGCAACCATCGATCAATCGCAAACATTAGGTGCTCCACATAGATGCTAACTTTGTCGTGATACGGAAATGTTAGTGAAGCGCTCCACCGATAGTACTCAAAACATCTGTATATCCAAAATAAACACAAGGATCTGGTACCGGGCGGCCAGAGCAACCCACCCCACACCCTATCTGAAAAACAAAACACGCTGAAAGAGGATCCAAATGAATAAGACAGAATACCATATATAACGATTTTTACCTAACCTCATCAAAAGTGGCATAAACAAAATGACGCCTTGACGCTAACAGAGACACAGGTGTAAACAATCTAATGAAAGCGTCGTTTTTCTGTACACTGAGTGTATCTGAAATGACATCTTTCACTTTACAGCCACCCTGAATCGATTTGTGTGGAGGCGTCCAAACCCAATGTCACCCGGAGCAAACCATTTCTTCGATAAAGAGGCTGGGAAATTAAGGATGTTCGGCAAGAGTTTTTTCTCTCTAATAAAGTACAATGGGTTTACCAGCTGGATCAATTAGAGGAAAAACTTTGCACAAGAAAGATTAAACAAAAGTAGAGTGGTCATAGCGAGAAATGTTTCAATATTCTCACTTTTTGTACATTAGATGCAGGAAGTTGGCGTGTCACCTAACCAGATACATAGGAGCATGCTTATACACTAAGATCCGCTAAGCCCCTCCCACTAAACTTACCCCCGTTTATGAGTGAACTGATGCAACAAAAGTGAGGCAAAGTTCAGCAACGAAGTCGGAAACGTCGAAAAGATCAACGAATAATTGGGGGGCTGACGAGGCATATCTTGACCGCATGAACCCGGCAGAAGAACCGACTAGAAGTAGTCGGAGTTCAGTTTCTATTCAGCAGAACGTACATAGACAAAGGTGTTCACAAAATGGAGCACAACCAACAGTCTACCCATTGGTAAGGGCAGCTCGATCGGTGTTCATCTAAAATGCTCCAAAAATTATGACTTGGTCGCCATTCTAAGTAAATTATCATTCAATTAGAACATAAGGTTGACGAAAACTCGAAGACTGCGCCTACCTGATGAGCCCAGAGCAGAAGGGAGAAACGGGTCGTGGGCTGCCGAAGAGTTCTCAGCAACTGTGAGAGTAGTTTCCTCCTTTATAAAAATAAATTATCATTTAATTTTCAGGGTGCCAATAACGTCAATTCAGACCAGCAGCAATAATCATTTTGCACATTTTTCACCGACTTTCATTTATAAATATTATTTCCAAACATAGGTACCGAAGGTAATTAAATGTTTCATATTCAAAACAGAATAGCTTGCTACCCCACTTCAGATACTGCCCAACAGTTCCAATATCTGGCCTTGGCCGAGGTAATTTTAAAACTACTCAACGCATGTGGTTAAAAAATATCGTATCGAAATATCAGCCAATTCGTTACTCATGGAACGTGTGAAAAAAGACTACACGTACAGACAGCTTGCCATATAAAGCTTGCCAGGGCAGTAAACAGACACTTATCCACTTATTCAGGATGTGTTGAAATTTCCAAATAAGTTCCCGACGATAAATCAGACTCACGTTCTCGTAATAAAAGTCGGACTCACTCAAAGTATGCTGCCCATTGATGTACTGTCGTAATCGCTGCAGGCCTGTCGTTTTGCACCCGAGACAGTTTTTATTCTTCCGTATGTTGAAATTGCTATTTTCTTCCATTGGTGCACACTACTCAAGAGGTTGCTGAAAAGCTATTTGATAACTCATGATGGTTTGTGTTCAGTTCCGGGTTCATCACATAGACACAGTATCCGGATGTTTGTCAATCTTAATAACACTAGGTTGTGCACATTGACAAAATGCACTCGCTCAAAGATTATTTTGACTTTAGCGGAAAACTCACCTAAAAATCATATTCATGATAACCTTTACCTGGTGAGCCAAAAGAATAACGAGACCAGTGTTGAGCTATCGGAACGATTCCAACAAACGTAGGTGTGATTTGTTCCATCAAGCAAATAGCGTATTATGCAAACCAGGAAGCGGCCTTTGTGAAGCACCTTTTACTGAAAGAATGTAATAACCAGGGAATTCAGGTGTCTGCAGTTGCCACTTCATCCTTCCGTGAACCAATTGGGTTCTTAAATTTAATGCATCTGTACTTTAGTTGGATATGCTACGCATCAAACCTCTTTTTTATCCTTATGCAAGTTACCACTAGAACGGAGTGGTAACAAACGCCATTCTGTTCAGGTTCTTTTTAATTTTCCACAGTAAAGTCGTTTCGCAGTAAAATCTCTTTCTCCAAAAAAATCATCTGTATTCTAGCCGATTTAGTCGACTATTTCACTGGACTGGTTATTCATAGTTAAGCCACTGTTTAGCTATTTTGACCTGGTGTAACGGTGACACTACTGATGGGAGGCATGCAAGTAGTAGGGCATCTCGTGAAACAGCTTTGCGTCTCTTGAAAAGCGAGATCTGTTACGGAATTTGCAGACTCGCTTTGTAGCATTCGCTTGAACCTGAGTAACAGTCAATTAATATCCAGAAAATTCAGGAAGATGCGTTCAAAGAGAGGACGGATATTCATTTTTGTAAACAAGATGCATATGAGAGTTTTGCTTCCCTGTCCAATAGTCTGTAACAGTTCAGTTGACGTTTTCTGCAGGGAAGGCCTTCTTTCTTTCACTGAAAGCTCCTTGAATTTTGTCATTTCGTTGGCAAACTTTGTTTTTTGATCTGATCATTTGTTAGTTTGGATGGGCTAGCATGAAATCGGGGATAGTGTGGCTGAAAGAAACTTGTTATTCAAATTCGAGAACATTGTGCTACGTGGCATCCCAACGGATGACATTTCAGATTATCATTTCAGTCCCTATTTGAGTATTTTCATTCATTCTGATATTCCATAAGACCCATATTTTACGATGTGAGGAGTCACATCGGAGAAAATATGTTCATCCGGGTTTATCTATGCTTTCTTTCTGAGTAATGTGAGGTTAGTAACTAATAACCCGAAACAAGGCCGGCGTCAAGCAATGTAGAAATGCGGAACTGTGCGGCGCCAGTGGGAAAGAAATAATCGAAATATTCGTTTGAAACCTCCTTACCTTTCCGTGGAATACACAGTGTTGTTTTCCCAAAACGACGTCCAGAGTCAAATTGTGCTTTCTGTAAGGATGCTACATGGTGGTGAATAATTAATACTCTCAAATTGAGTGGTAGAGTGCGTGAACTCCTGCTGTTACCGGTACATCAAAAGAATAGAATTATTAATCGATCACTGCCCGGACGCAGTCGCTCGCAGGAACACCAACGAGAATAGGTTGGGCAGAGTAGAAGCTAACTTATACCTTTTGCAGATTATTTCGGCATACTCGGGAAGTGTTTTTGGAAGACCATATCATCTGGAAAGACATTGTGACGCGTTTCTGCATTCAATTATTCCGCCCTTTTTCTATCGTTATGACCTTATCGTAGCTAAACGCTGTGGGTGGGGTCGGTGGGTTGATGCTCCGTCAAGAATTTGTTCAGATTCCGCGGACTTTCAAGGTTTACTGCAGCCCAACAATATGGGCACGGAAAACCAAAATTTTAGCAAACAACGTAGAAGTGCCTACTCTGAACCTCATTAAAGAAGGTATCGGAATACTTGCACAACTGTGCTTCTGTTCCCTTGCGTCTCTCTACGAAGGAACAAACTTTGTTGCCTGCATGGTTTTAAACAAATTGTCGGGGGTTCCTGATGACTCCAAATTATGTTTGGAACCCATGAGAAAGTAAAGTCGAAATTAAGGACTTGCATAAATGTGCAACCTGCGTTATAAAGTTTGTTGTTATCATTATGAACCTGCGTCAAATAAGCTCACAGTTGGTGCTCACATCAGTAAGCACAATCTATCCTTCCTGTCAGCTATTTTCTAATCAGCTATCATTTCAATAAGATATGGACGAACTGAGTGAGAAGCTTGCCAAAGAGTGAGATCCAAAAATTACTGATCTGTTTTTGAAAGTCTAATGAGTTTGAGTAAGTCAACCGTGTAAGTAGACACAGCTTCCTTGTTCGGTCAAAATCCATTTTGTTAAGCTTTGAAAGTCAATGAGTTTGAGTAAGTCAACCGTGTAAGTAGATACAGCTTCCTTGTTCGGTCAAAATCCATTTTGTTAAGCCGTAGCCATTTAAGTGGCGATCACCTGTTATTTATCCTCTTGGAAGAAAAGGTATGGAAGACATCGTAGTAAACGTGCTGGACACCTCTTTCTAAGGGCACGTGACAACTGGGTCAGGTTCCCTTCCACCAACATTTCACTGCTGACAAATTTGCATCACGAACTAGTGGTGCCTTGGCATTCGCCACCGTAGAAGCGAATGTCGTGCCAGAGGCTACCGATTGTTCAATGGGCTGATTAAAACACTTGTAGGCTCGGTCGTTGAAATTCAACACCAAATCTGTGTGAGATCTACTGGAAAGAAGGACCAAATCTGACTGGTCTGATCCATCTGAACGTCTACATTAAACTGGTACATTGGGACAAATTTGACAGCGGCTGCTTGAATAATCGGACAAAATGTCAACCTCCAAAAGGGCTAATGGTGCTTCAACACACAAATCCACTGAACTACGGTTGCGGCTCAGCCAACTGGCACCATGCAATAATGTACACGGCAGAGAGTCGTAAAGGTGAATATTTTCATCCTCGGTGATGCCATCAGCATCTGCTGATTCGAAGTCTTTTCGTACATCCCCAGTTTATCGGGTACACTTTCAAACGGGTAATCAAAAGTTTGGGGTTCCCCAACCGCTTCCTTCCCCTTTTTCCGGGCTCTTCTGATTCGGCACCAGGTCTGGGGCGCCGTTCGAAAGGCACGTGGTCCATAATTAGTTTCGGATCGGATAGTTTTGCATCCATTAGATCCTTCAGTTTCGGATAAACACCATTATATTGCAGATGGTCTGGAGATTGCCCTCGATTGTCATGATATGTTCAGGGCCTCTGTTGTCAGGTATATTGAGTTTCACGTTATACTGTGAGCGGATCTTTTGATATTTTCACCACCTTTGCCAATCACTCTGCCAGCAGCACGGCACGGGATGAGGAACCGCAAAACTACGCTCTGGCTGGACCCTGGAATTTCGACGGCGGCCCGTCTGTACCATTTTCAGCAAAAACGTCCCTTTTTGTCAAGCCTGGCTGAGTTCGCTGTTTTTAAAAAAAAATTTTTTCAGTACCACCCATGAATACCGACGGCCAACGAAATTTCCGAAAGCCGAAAAAACTTTATGCTTCAACTAGGGGGTGAGAGCTAGCCAGGCTTTGGTCACAAAAGCTGCAGTCATATTACTTTTAGATAACAGCAATGGAAGGAAAGCCATTCGGGGTGGAGTTATTCATCAGCAAGCACTAAGCAAACAATTACAAACCATTGGACAGGAAAGTACGTATCTCATATGCACCTTATTTTTAATAACTGAACATCCTCACGCGTCCTCTTGACACGTGGATTTTCATTAACTATCACGCAATTGTAAACGAACGCTGAACAGCAGTTCCACAAGTTCCTTAATAAACCCTAGTTTCCATTAGACGTGAGGTGGAGTTACGAGAATACCACATACTACTCGCATGCCTCATCAGTAGAACCGGCGTTTCACCAGTAGCGCACAGCAACTTGTGTGTCGTCTGTGGGAGCAGTGACAATATCTGACCAAAAAAAGCGCACACTTATAAATTAAGGCTGATGGCCAGCAGTACGTATTTTCGCCTAACTAACGAGGAATAAAGTGACAGAAATAAATAAATTTTCACTGTTTCGAAACTGTGCCACATATTCTGCACATGCTTCTCCAGTGTGACCGACAGTACTATTGTAAATCATTTTGTCATCGGTTGGCTCCGATTAAATTGTAACCTCAAGAACACATAATCAATTTTAATGTGATGAGAGTTTAATAACGTATGAGATAGTTAAATCTCGAGGGGTCAGTTTCCTCCCTGCTCCATTTATCCATATTTGTGAAGTCAGTATCTATTCGGAGAAGGCATAGTACTTGTGAAGTGTAGCAACATAGGGGCATTTTAGTTGAGAGCGGGATAACTATAGACTAGGGTCGGAAGAGGGCTATCTAAGTGGGTGAACTGTGAATATGTGCAGTAGCCTTTCGGATTGCAAGGAAGCAAGTGAGCCTAGTAGTCAGAGGAACTCACAGCAAAATCATCAGGTTCAAGTAGAGCATAAGGTTACCGAAAGCTCGGAGACTAGGCCTACCTGATGATTCCTAAGAGCGAAACCGGTCTCGGGCTGTCGGAGAATATTCAGCAACCTCATGAGTCGTATGTATCACGTCTATACATGTATCGCGATGTCGAATATCGTACCATTTGAAACATGAGATGCCCTGGTGCAGCACATTCAGTTGCCTAGAAACATCATCCATAAAAGATTCAGCTGGGTTCCAGATGAGTCACTGACAAAACCAAATTTGTTTGCAAATGAGTGTATTTCACGGCAAAATAGCTTCCAGGGATAGGTCACGTCGAAGGACGTCACTCCACGAGAGACTAACCATCTCCTCTGACTGAGGTCTTTCTTGGGACAAACTTTCTCTATCCACCATGAGCAACATGTCGCCTTTGTCTGTTGAAAAAAACAGCTGACTTCTAATTACCTTTCTGTCGCGTCCCCTGATTGAGCGTCAACAAGCACACATCGCGCGGTATTTGAAATCTAGTGGGAAGTGTTCAATATCTCACCAAAGCTGACACAGCCTCCGATTTTTAGTTAATCCCATGTGCATATGGCAACCTGATATCTCGTTTCCAATTAACCTTCCTCTCCAAAAAATGTATCAAGTATTGTCCCTTTGTGCATTGATGTGGTCACTCAAGATTTGATAGCAATACTTAAAAACTGACTAGATGGCTCAAACTTCAGTTGCGCAAGCAAGCACATCCTTTTGTGACACGTTTTCTGTGATTCTCATAAGGGAAATGCAGTGATTTGCGCATTGAGCGTGAGTTTTCCATAAAGATCGATGAAACATGTAACTGTTGTGTAAATTACTGATGAAGTTGTTGTTATAACTGCTCATTTATCCAGTGAGTGACACAAAAACAGGGAGAATTGGCGCGATTGTATCTGAGGGAGGAGAATATTGGTGTAGTGAGCGCAGTGGTTATCTCAACAGGGTCTCAAGGGATATGTGGAGGTGTAGGTTATCAAAGCAAACCGTGTATGGAACGCAGGAAGAGAACGCGAAATTGGATAAATACATCGTCAAGATGGACTATGGCAAGCTTTGATCACACTCGTTGTTGGATACATAACCGAGAAGATTGTGACGTTTGGGAAATAGATGTTATTCAGAAAGCCAGTTCTCCTTAGTTCGTGGTAGTCAACCGCAAAAAAGAAACTACAAATCTGGCTCTCTTTTTTATGGATCCCGAAACCTTTTGGGTCTGGCGTTAATGAGTAAGTGAAATTGCTGTTCAACTGTTGATAGTTCAATTCTCCTTGCGGTTAGATACAAAGCGTGAACAACTAAAGCTGATTCCTTGTAATGCACTACCCATAAGATTGCTGAAAATTCGTCAATAGCCCACGACCGGTTTCACCCTTCTTAAGGCTCATCAAGTAGGCGTAGTCACCGAGTTTCCGTCAAGAAACTTGCACAGCTGTAGCACCTTTTCGGTGCCTAGTTGCCATGCCCAAGCCTAGACATGGATATTCGAGAGGCAAAGGTGGGGTTTCGAACCACGAAATTCGGGTCATTAAATTCGCGCTCTAACCACTTGAGCCATCTCGCCCCGATGGCTCTTTTGTTCTACTTGAAACCAAGCTGCACGAGATTGTCGAATATACCCCCATTTGCAAACTAATTTGGGTTTTTCGAGAAACTCACCTGGAACCAAGCTGAATCTCTAGTTTGCGATGTTTCCAGGTAACTGAATGTGCAGCACCAGGCCGCCTCAGTCGCTACGATATTCGTGATATCGCGATACATGTATATTTGTAATGCACTACTCATAAGGTTGCTGAAAATTCGTCGACAGCCCACAAACGAGAGTATCAGCTAGGTTCCAGGTGCGTCTTTCGAAAAGAATTAGTTTGCAAATGAGTGCATATTCGCTAAAGCTGAGCCTTTTGAATGTGTGGATTGGATTACGGAGACAACCACGAAACGAGATTTCATCCTTTTCTGGTGCACACCATTTTGGTGGTTCTAACCATCAGTCATCGTGAGAGACAATCCATCCGTTCAAGGATATTTATAAAAGTCATTCAACGTGGCTGAATGTTTAGAACTCCGTCATCTCGACTCTGCTTTTGTTTATCATGTTTTGCTGGAACGTTAATCATCTGGCTGATATAGACAACTTCGAGTCGACTCCGAGTGCATAAGATTGAATAATTGTCGAATTGCATGTTCTTAGTGAATATCAACCAGAATAAATGGCTCAAAATATACGATTTGATGTATACTATTTAGCTAACTTACCACCTACCATAACAGCATGATAATTTGAATGAAACAAATAAGCGGTCGCACTGCACCAAAGTTGATTTGACCTTGGTAACTGTTAGTGGCGTCGACTACCACTTTCATTAATTATGGCAACTACTCTGGAAAAAACGAAAAAATAAAGTAGAAATTGTCCAAATGAAAAAAAATTACATGGTTGCTCCAACGAAGAACCTATCCCAGAGCACTTATTTTGAGGAAATTTCCACAGCTGGTCACAACTTTCTTCCAAAAGCACTAAATTATGTCACGTTACTTTTCAATGCGAATTCTGCGTTCTCAGGTGCTTTTAAAACTCTCACGACCTTCGTAGGCGACAATTTACCACAACTTGAATTGCAGTCCATCTGTAAAGGATTTCCACTTAGATGTACAGGTTAAAATCTCAAGCCGTACCAGTTTAAACAAGTTTGAAGAGGAACTTCATTAGCTTTTATGACAAGAAGGAGACAGGGTTTCGAAGCAAGCCCACTTAAGGTGAAGAAATCATACGGGTAAGAATAGTAATTGAGGATTCATGAGTAGACCAAGTTGCTGCAGAGAAGATGAGCAGCCATTAACTTGTCCTTAGATACTTGCTTGGCGAAAATGATAATAACTTGTAGGACACGTAACCGATGGTCAAGAGTTAGAAGCCCGTATATGAAATGCCACCTTAGGTCAATGCACCGCGATTCAATGTTATCGTTAGTTTCAAAATGCGAGCGAAGGGGATGTCAGGGTAAAGATGATGCAGGAAAATTTCAAATGCAACGTGAAAATATGACAAACAGTTTGAAACAAAAAGCCTATTAATTTGGCACCACAGGAGTTAGCTGACTCCTTAGTTACATGGGCCTAGTTAGTCCCACTACGCGCTGCCACAAGAAGCACAAAAGACGACCACGCTTATTACCTAGTTTTGGCTTACAGCTGCACATTGTGAACCGGATTGGGACGATCGGTTGTTGTGCGTATTTGACATTTCCTGAAGTGCATTAGAGTTTGTAGTTAGCAATATGCCTAGTCGGGCGAGACAACAAGTTTTCAGAGTGCTCAAGCAGAGCGTAAGATAGCATGCCGAATCCGTGCACGATGACTGGACCCACTTCCATGCAAATACGGTGGATACTACTGATGCGGCGTGCGAGTAGTGTGCTTTTTCGTAAATCCGCTTGTGTCTCTTGAAAAGTGAGATCGATTACGAAATCTGTGGAGTCGCAGTTGTTTGCATTCGAGCAAAAGTCAATGAATACCCTGGAAAGTTCAGGCAAACGAGTTCAAGGAGAAGATGAACAAGATGTATATGAGAGTTTTGCATCCCTGTCCAATATTCTGTAACTTTTCAGTTGGTGTATTCTAATGGATAACTCCACAGCGAAGGCCTTCTTCCTTTCACCACTGGTTCAT